AATGAAGTTTAGATAGCTGAATCAAACTTAGAAGAGAAAAGTGGGGTCTAAATGTCTGAAACCACATTTAAAATCTGAAACCACTTTGAAAATAAACAGAAACATTAAAAAAAAAAAAAAAAAAATCTTGTAGTTATGACAAAATGGTCACTAATTCAATAAGTCAGTGGTTCTCAATCAAGAAGCCGAGAGGGGGCCTTAGCACATTTCCAACAGGGCCACAGAATAAAATAAGACAAAACAGGATTTAAAATAGGCTAAACATGGCTAAAAATCAAGAAGTAAGCTGAAATCATATTTGTTTCTTTAACAACTGCCATTTGAAACCATGGAAATGAATGCTGTTTAAAAGTTTGGGATCAGTAAGATTTTTAATGTTTTTGAATGAAGTCTTTTGTCATTTATTTGATCAAAAATACATACAAAAAACAGTAATATTGCAAATGTTATTGTTGGAATATACAGTATGTTGGAACAGTTGTGCTGCTTAATTTTTTTGGAACCTGTGATTCTTTTTTTCAGGATTCTTTGATGAATAAAAAGTTAGACTATTCAAAATAGAAATCTTTTGTAACAAACAAAACTGTTCAAAAGTTTGGGGTCAGTATTTTTTTTTTGAAAAAAAATAAAATAAATAATTATAGCAAGGATGTGTTAAATTGATAAAAAGGGATAGTAAAGACTTATATTGTTAGAAAAGATTCCTATTTTGAATAAATGCTGTTCTTTTTAACATTTATGTTCATGAAAGAATCCTGAAAAATGTATAACAGGTTCCCAAAAAAGACTGAGCAGCAAAACTCTTTTGATTATTGATAATAAATCAGCATATTAAAATGATTTCTGAAATAAATTATATTTTAAAGTATATTAAAATAGCAAACCATTATTTTAAATTGTAATAATATTTTACAATATTACTGTTTCCCCCCTGTATTTTTGATAAAATAAATGCAACCTTGATGAGCATAAGAGTCTTCTTTAAAACACATTAAAAATCTTTCACAAGTAAATGTGTGACATTCTTGTTTCCGTTGAAGCTCAAGATGCTCATTGGATGATGCTCAAATCATGCTGGAGAACATGATCATCATTTAATATGATAATCATTTCACTTAAATTGTTGTTCTGATCATTTGTAATGAAAAAATGGTATAACATTCAATTAATTTTTCAGATCTGATTAGGTAAATCTATTATGTCTTAAACACTTGTCTGAGCAGACTGGGGGTGTACATGTCTGTCCCCATGCCAAATGAACAATGCATAATGTAAAAATGCATAATCTATATATGTGTATAATATATTATTGTCCAACTATTGTGGATCATTTCCTTAGTGCTACACACAGCCCCATCTAAATGCATCCACTGCCACCTTGTGGCCAGATTTAAAACTTTCAAAAGTGTAGACGTTACGCCAATGAGACACCACTAGAAAAGCATCCTATTGTATAAACCCAGTTATATCTGTTCTCATTTTATTTTATTATCTATAGTGAGCAAGAACTAGACAGTATTACAAAGCAACCAAAACGTCCCACCCTGAAAGAGCTTATCAATTTATTGCATTGTGTTTGGTTAGGACATGATGTAATTCCCTTTAATAAGTTTACATCATTCTTTGTTCAAGGTCCCAAGCATATCATTTATTGTAAACATGCACACACAATGAACTATTGTTCAAATATTGTATAAGGTGAGCAATGGTTATTTGACAAAAACACTTAGTAGCTGCATGCAAAGTTCTTAGTGTATTAGAAGGAAGTCTAATGAAAAGAATATACTTTCTTGCAACAACATGCAATAACACAGAGAACGTGAAATTACCCCATCGTGGCAACCCAAAACTTCACTCTTGCAGAGTCTGAGTGAGATAGCAATCAAATCCATATACTGAAGACAGACCTTACAAGTGTTCACACTGTGAAAAGAGTCATTGCTCCTGTATTTCTCTGAGAGGGAGAATGCACACTGGAGAAAAGCCATTACATTGCCCGGTTCAGAAACTATCCAACCTAAAGGAAGTCACAATGCACAAGCTCTCAAGTGCAGATTACAAGAGGAGAAAAAGCAGCCCAGTTTGTGTAAATAGGGTGAAATTTGATCTGATAAAACAAACTTGCAGTAGTGAAAACAGAGCAAAATAGTATCCACATCAAAGTTGTGATAGAAGGCGAGGAGTCCTGGCCGTGATGTTAGTAACCATTTCAGGTTGGTCCATTCTCACTCTAACTACCTCGGCTTTCCTAAAGGCCTGGAGGTTTTCTCAAGTGTTGCAAGGAATCGGATCCTCCCTTGAAAGCAGGTCTCCATAGACGAAAGAAATATATAAAATAAAAATTTATGATATATTATATATATATATATAACAAAACTTGGACAATGTTTTCAGAGTGAGAAGCATCATCAGCTTCAGATATGCTTCATCTCACTACTGTAGCTCCAATCACCTGCCACACAATTATAATAACAGCTGAGTGAACAAGTTAATATGGCATGACATACATTCACATAATCCCCATAGCTCAAAACAGTATCTAGCATTGGCAACATTTTGGAGGGCTGAGAAAATCATAAAAACTCAAAGGCTGAAAGTATAAAATATGTGAGTGGTCCATCGTGCACCATCATGACCCCAACAACCGTCACACTTTAACATAATCTAACCCAGAGATTTCCAAACCTGTTCTGGAAGCCCCCCCCACTGCACATTTTATGTCTCTCTCATCTAACACACCTGATTCAACTAGCTCATTAGTAGAGACTGCAAGACCTGAATTAGGTGTGTCTGATAAGTGAGACATATACCTAACCCAGTGGTTCCCAGCCACGATGAACTGATGATCTGAATCAGGTGTGAATTGAGACGTCCTTCAAGATGGCTGCGCTCGAGCGGTTTCCGGGTCATAGGATGCAGGAGGGATATTGAGAAGCACCCCTTGTCTAACCTACTGTGGCACAAGTAAGCGATTTGTTAACAGGGAGTAAGTTTACTGAAACTTAAAGATCAAAACATTCTTTATCTCAACTGTTTAGTCAATTAACAATTTTCAAATATGGCACCAAATCTTTTACTCAGTTTTCATAAAGACAGTCTACTTATACTTGCCTATATTAAACGTTAAATAGCCTATTATATGTTTGAAAACAGCTGATTTTTCTTATTAATGTAGCCTCATACTACAATCTGCAGATTTCAGTTTGCAAAAACGGGGAAAGTGCTCAGGCTCTGTGTTAATGAGCCATTTCACCGATGAGACCAATTATGAGTCCTCTGTTTTCCCTAAACAGATATCAGTTGAGCACACATGGCACTCCTCACTAGCTGATTAGATATGAGGAAGCGTTGCTCTCTACCTAGCACCAAATGAAAACTCTGCAAAAGTCATTAGCGAATTCATTCAGGGAAGGTTTTGTTATTTTTGGTTGGAGGGAAGAGACAAATGACAATCAGCGAATGAATACAGTATCTAAAAACCCCATACCTGCTTGCTTGTATCATAGCTACTTAATTCAGAACAACAATTAGAAAAAAAAAGAATAGCAGTGGTGTAAATTTATTTTGTCTTGCAAACCCGAAACCTTTAAAAAGCACATACAACTTTTTTTAATGCATACAGGAGTGTATATTAATAATAATAATAATAATAATAATAATTTAAGGATTGTATAATAATTAGTATTATTTTGGGGTATTAAAGCTACTTAAATATGCCTATTATTGAGACTTGAATATTTGCACTCAATTACATTTTAAAGATAAAAATAAAAAAAAGACTTAATTTCGCCTTCAAACTTAAAGTGCTATAAATGTAGTTCTTTGGGTGGGTGTGGTGTGTGTGTGTATGTATGTATGTATATATATATATATATGGCTATACACTTGTGTGGAACAGATCATTATGAAATAATGATAGACAATGAAGTCCATTAGCCTGCATTCATGCATCAGATGTAACTGTCCACATTGATTATTGTGAAGAGACATTATTGTGAAAAGTCACTACCACAGCAGGTATATAAATGTTTTAATCAGGGGTTTATATGGTTTTACCATCTATGGTTGTGTCCTAAAATCTTTTGTAATCAGGATATTGGATAAGGCATCCGTACTTTTTGTTTTTTGTTTCCCCCTCAAAACCTACCTAAAAGTTTGCCTTAACTTTTTGTATGTTTTTGGCAAGGTTATTTGATTTTTGAGATGGTAGATGATTTCTTTGCTTTTACTCCTCTAAACAGACACTTCTAACGCATCTGGTGATAAACGCAGCAATCCGATCACAAAATAATACACACACAAAAACAAAAAGGTATTTGGGACTTTTCAGTATTAAAGGGATATTAAGGGGGAAAAAATACTATGGAAGTCAATGGCAACCACCAACTAACTGTTTGATTACCAGCAATCTTCAAACTATCTTCTTTTATGTTCAACATAAGAAAGCAACTCATACAGGCTTGGAACGACATGAGGGTGAGTAAATGATGACAGAATTTTCATTTTTGGGTGAACTATCCCTTTAAGGACTTTTGGGGTTGTGTAACGTGAGACCAATGTGCGCCTAAAATGCATGTGACGTTTGGCGGTCCGTGATGATCGGTTCCTGATTCTGATTGGCTACTACTATATCCGTCACTGGCCGTGTGCCGAGTGAACTGAGCGCCGATTGGCTGGTTTGGTTCGAGCGAATGGATTGGGTCATTTCTCGTGACTGGTGGCAGTGTTGCCAAGTCCGCGGTTTTCCCGTGTAATTGAGCTACTTTAACACAGTGCCGGGGGTTGAAGCGACCCCAATAACGTGATATTGGGATAAAACCACTGGAATGCGAATTTTACCAGGTGACCCCCGCCAAAAAACTTTTATTTTACCCCCCCCCCCCCGAAATATGATTTTTAACGCATTCCGTTTTTCTACTCCAAACTAGCCCCAAAGCGATTGGGCTAGTTTTGAGGAGCGATTGGGCGGGTTTTTGTTGTGAAAACCTGGCAACCTTGACTGGTGGCGAAATGGTGTGCCGGCTCGGCGAGAACTGAATTGGACGGGTTAAAAGGTGTATTAAAAAACCGCTTCAAGCTAAACGATCACAGTTCAAACCTGCGCTCTGGTTTCCGCGTAATCTGCGTGATATGGGGGAAGAAACTGAGATCTCGGTGAAAAGAGAGAATCAGGACACGAAGGATGAAAATACGGACAGCGGTGTGAAATATTACACACGCGAAGAGGTTCAAGCCCATAACATGAGCAAAGACACATGGCTCATAATCCACGATAAAGTTTACGATATCACAAGATTCATGGAGGAGGTAAGAGGGTTGGAGTTTCATCGTGTCCTCCACATCACACCTGATACAACCACACAGCACTAATCCTGCACGATTTTACCTTTTGTTTATATATCTTAAATATGGACTATTATTTATTTTTAGTTGGAGTCTCTTTAGACTCGAGAAACAAGCTGCTGACAAGATCATCAAAGTTTCTGTGGCCCGATTAGTCTGTTAGCATACTAGATTCAGTGCAGTAAACAACACTGGAGGATTAAACTGGCTCTCTACGGAAATATTGTGTATCGAAACATGTAGGAAGGCATTGCATGGTTGGGTATTGGCCACATAGCTGCTCGGCTAGCCTAACTCAGTGTTTCCCAACCTTTTTTTAGTCGCGGCACCCTTTGGATTTTAATATTATAAAAAAAAATTTGTCCATCAATGGTGGCAATCAGTAGGCTAATGTCTAATGAAGAGACCGATTTATATGACAGATTTTATAGGCTTTTATACATATGTAAAAATTATTTAATTACCATTATAACTACCAGTCACTAATCAGGTGGCTACACAGCATTTGACCACTGGATTTACAAAAATCATTTACATTTTAAGAAGGGTTATTTCAACATTGCATCATCTATTGATGAACACAATTTTTATTTTATTTATCACTCAGTAGGTTATTTAACCATTTATTACTGTCTTTGGAAGGCTTTTTTCTTTCAAACACATTAAAATGCACTATTCACATTATTTCTTATTTACATGTAATGCACGGATTCCCAAACTTTTTTTCTTTCACCTTATATATTTATTTGAAGTACCTCCCCATTTACTGAAATGAATAATTCAGTAACACATTAGCAAATGTTCACAGTTCTGTGACGTTGATCACATGGCATGCAGGTAAACTAAATATTTTTTATTTTGTGTGTTATTTTGATTGTTGTTATTTAAAAATAATATTTTTATGATTAATTATTCGCTTTTCATTAAACTTACGAAACCCCTGCAGTTCCTTCACAAACCACAGTTTAGGAAACCTTTACGTAATGTAATGTTTAATGCACTTCATTATGTTATTAACAACAAATGTAATATATTTTCTTTGCATTTTTATATCAATATGGTACAATATTTATTAAGTCAATTGGATAAATGAGTTGGGTCAAAAGTAATCAAAAAGTATTCTGATTATATTACCTAAAATGTGTAATGTAATGAATTACGTAATCTACCCAGCTCTGCTCATTGTGCAACTAAACTGTAAAATGTTATATGAACAACCAGATACTAGCTTAAAGTACAACATAACAGTAACAGGTCTTTCGAGTTGGACTAGGTAATAATTTGTGACTCAGTAAGTGAATCTGATGTTTTAAGAAATGTTTAATTCAGGAAAAAGGAGACACCAAAAAGATTCACCAAAAGAGTATTTCAATACAATGTTCTGTTTGAACCGTTTATAGAACCAAAGATGGAATCGGTTCTGTATTGAGTGCAATAGCCGGATTCCCAAAGTTAAAATCCATTCATTTCCTCCATAGGAGACCATAAGTACAATAATTTATAACCCTTTAAAGACGGACCTACTGTGAGCTATGAGGTTGTTAATCGATATAAAAGCTTTTGCTGAAGCCATCAGTTCTCATTATTTCAACTTTTTATATTATTATATATAATTGCGTTTTAATATTCATGTTTGACAGTGGAGTTCATGGGGCCTGTACCATGATGGTGGCTGAACAAACTCAGGGTTATAGGATTAGTTTTGAGTTGACAAAACCAAACCAATCCAATCCGGCTTTGTTGGTGCCATGACCCTGATCATTACCTTTCTCCGTCAACAAAAGCATTGATCCTGAGTTTATGGAGCAGGTGCACATGACATCTGTAATGAACAGCCAATCACATGCCTTGAAACTGTGATTCACTTCTCACCAGAGAGCAATTCACTGCCAAAGATTAAATGATTTTTTTTTTTTTTTTTTAAATGAAGAATTTCAACACACAGCAAGTTGAAAAGAGTTGTCCATAAAAGAGGACAACTTAAAGAAAACATCTTGCCATACCAGTGCAAGTGACAGTTGTGAAGTTAGTTTATGTAGTTGAATATATATACAGACACTAAAAAAAAATCAATAGTCATATGTAGTCATTTTTAAAACTTTATCTATTAATTCTAAAGCTTATTTATATTGCATATTGACCACACACACACACACACACACACTAGGGTTGTGACGTTGAGGAAATTTTCCCACCGTTTAATCGTTCAGTTTTTAATTGTAATGTCTGTTCTTTTACTGAACTAAATGATTTTTATTACTATAAAAAAAATCTAAACGACGGTGGGGGTCGGTGCCGCGGGGGGCAAGTGAAGTAACCGGTGTTGCGGCTTAACACCGGTATCACCGTCAGCACCGTCTATCGCGGCAAGCCTAACACACACACACACACTTTATTTGTTTAAAAGTAAAGTTTAATAATAATAAACTAAAAATGTCTCGTGTCATGGATTAAGGGTATAATAATTATATAAATCATATCAAGTAATTATAATAAATAATCATCACTAAAAGCTAGACATTATCTTTAAAATGTTTTACTAAGTAGTTCCCTTTAATTTGGAGCAAGAGAAACTGGAGTGACTTTTGGCGTTTTTCCACTGCATGGTACAGCACGGTACGGCTCGGTACAGTTCACTTTTTGGGGGTTTTCCACTGGGTACAGTACCTGGTACTTTTTTTAGTACCACCTCGGTTGAGGTTCCAGATGTGTTACTTTGCTTGAAGCTGATTGGTCAGATTTCGGTTTGAGATCTCTAAACCAGAACATAACCTGCTATGGAGTAGGTTAGCCATGGAGCGTAAGTTACTATGGTGATGATAAACGCCACTAAAAACCAAACCACTTTCATGGCTCCTATAACCCAGTGTTGGTGCAAACTAACCTGAAACTTACCTTGCTAGCCAGAAAACCGGCATCATGGTATAGGCCTCTGGTGGAAAAACTACATTACCCATGATTCTGCAAACAAATCTCCACCATCAAAGAATCCCAACAAGCAAATTGCACGTTCTTGCTCGCTCCTGTGAAGCACTGTGAATGACGCGGGAATCTTTCTTACTATGCTATTTAAATATTTTAAAATATATGCTATGCATATTTTGCAGTAAACAAACTATATTCTCTCTATATGTATAATCACCGTCTTTAAATCACTATATTTTTCCATCACTGTTAAGTTCATTGTCATACACAATACTTCATGGGATTGTAGTTCTGTCCCTCTTTAAAGCTGTTAAGTACCCTATTTATGTTATTGTTTTCTAATCAATGGTTGTAATGTTCTGATCCACTTCCTGTACCACGCCGGCGGTACACTGCATGTTTTTAAGGGTTAACTTCGTGACATACGAAAAAAAAATTGAAGATACAACCAGCACAGCGGGTACAATCAGTGTTTTTGTCAGACTGCCAACAACGCTTCATGTTGTGATCCCATTGTGTTTTTACAAAAACCCGTTTTCCTTTTTCAGTGTGTTCAAAGTTGTATTACTCAATACCAGTAAGACTTACAGTGATTCTGAGGTTTGTTCGGTTAAGGAACAAACCTCAAAGTGTCACCTTTCAAAAGAGAGATTCAAGAACAGCATGCAATTTACTTTGGGTATGCCTTTTTTTTTTTTTTAGGCGTTTTAAATTTTACAGGAATACTAGGGGGTTAATGAAGATATTAGTTAATGAAGGAAAAAAAAAAAAAACACTCCAGGAACCAAAAGTGCAACAATACACTATAAGAACCGGTTCTTGGATTGTAACCCTTCTATTAACATGTTTTGTACAAAAGGCTTACACAGGAATCTTGATGTTAGTTGCCAGAGTGTCAAACTTTCTCACCGTTGTTTGTATCATAACCTTTGAATTGTAAAGAGAGATTAGAGGTTGAATATTGTGCAACAGATGTCATGTCACACAGTGCCGGTGTCCAAAAGGATATCATTTATAAACCTTTGTCTTCTTTTCTTTGACAGCATCCAGGAGGTGAAGAGGTTCTGCTGGAGCAAGCAGGTGCAGATGCAACGGAAAGCTTTGAGGATGTGGGTCATTCCACAGATGCCAGAGAGATGCTCCAGCAGTATTACATCGGCGAACTACATATGGTAGTGCTGCTTGCTTTTCTTATAGGTTTATTAGTTTAAAGATGTGTTTTGTATGGAAGCCTGTTTCCGCCACTGAATAAAACATTTAGAATAGGTAATTGCGACTTTTTATCTCACAATTCTGACTTTTTTTCTCAACTCGCAATTGCGAGTTATAAAGTCAGAATTGCGTGATATAAACTCGCAATTGCGAGTTAAAGTCGAATTTTGAGGGGGGGAAAAGACTATGTTCTCAGAATTGCGACTTTATGTCTCGCAATTGCGAGTTTATATCACGCAATTCTGACTTTATTTCTCAGAATTGCCCGTTTTTATCTCACAATTTATGACTTTTTAACTCGCAATTGCGAGTTTATACTACGCAATTCTGAGAAAAAAAGTCAGAATTGTGAGATAAAAAGTCGCAATTACCTCTTATTTTTTATTCAGTGGCGGAAACGGGCTTCCATAGT